CCCAGCGGGTCGAGGCTGCAGTGGCTGGGAGCGGCCACTGCACTCCAGTCTGGGTGACAGACTCCAACTCAAAAAAGTAAAAATAAAAAATAAAAAAACAAAAGCAGGGCGGGTCCATGCCTCCACAGCCTTTGGCTGGGATTTGCCCGCACTTGGCTTTGTTTCTGTGGCGAGCAGGCCTGGCTCACCCTTGCCCAGGCAGGGCTGTCAACAGAGCATGGCGTAGCAGCTGCTTCCACACACAAGTACAGACCTCAGCGCAGCGTTTCTCAAAGGGGTTTTTGTTTTGTTTTGTTTTTGAGTCGGGGTCTCACTCTGTCTCCCAGGCTGCAGTGCAGTGGCGTGATCATGGCTCACCACGGCCTCAACCTTCTAGGCTCAAGTGCTCCTTCCAGCTCAGTCTCCCAAGCAGCTGAGATTACATGTGCACACCACCACACCCAGCTAACTTTTGTATTTTTGGTAGAGACAGAGTCTTGCTGTGTTGCCCAGGCTGGTTTCAAACTCCTGGGCTCAAATGATTCAGCCGCCTCAGCCTCACAAAGTGGTGGGATTACAGACATGAGCCTCCTTGCCCAGCCGGGGGTTTTTTTGTTTTTTGTTTTTTGTAAATCATTGGCAAAGTTTGAATTTACTGGGAAGTGTATTTAGAATTTCTGGCTCATTTTGTATAATTAACTGTAGCCAGAATGAAATTTAAAAAGTCTTACCATCATGAAAGGAATCTGGGTCACATGGGAATTTGCATTTTTAAATTGGCACTGATGCAGAAGGGAGACAGTGAAAGTGGTCACATGCAGATGGCTACCAAGCCCAGCCTTTCATGATGACCATTCTGGGAATCTACCCCAAGATCTCAGAGAACCAGGTGTAAGTGGGTCAGAAGGAAGGTATGGGCTAAGGTTCTCTTTTTGTGTCCTTCCTCCTTTGACATAGGAAATTAGCTCTTGCTTTTCCACCAGGGGCTCATTTCATAAACTCAGGTTCGTCGAAAGCTGACTTTTTTTTTTCCTTGAGCAGGGGTTTCACTCTGGTGCCTAGGCTGGAGTACAGTGGCATGATCACAGCTCACCACAGCCTCAACCTTCCAGGCTCAGTGATCCTTTCCCCTCTGCCTCCCAGCAGCTAGGACTACAGGCGTGTGCCACTCATTTTTTTATTTTTTGTAGAGATGAGGTCTCACTATGTTGTCTAGGCTATAAAGCTAATATTCAAAGCAACAGCCTCATCATCAGGGCTCTAGAACCCAGCAGGAGTTACAGATGTGTGTTGCTGTTTCAAGATTCTAGCATCTAGTTCTCTTACATTTCACGTGGCCCACCAAAGTGGAATTGAGTCACGTCTACTTCATGACAACCTGAGTTTTTAAAAACATGCCTTTTATTTTGAAACAACAACAGACTCGCAGGGAGTGGCAGAGAGGTCCCACGCACCCTTCACCCAGTGGCTACATCTGATTCAACGATAGCACTGAATCAAAAGCCTGAGTATTGGCCTCGTGCATTGGCTCACATCTATAATCCCAGTACTTTGGGAGGCAGAGACGAGAGGATTGCCTGAGCCCACAGATTGAGACCAGCCTGGGCAACTTGGCAAGACCTCATCTCGACAATAAATCGAAAAATTATCTGGGCATGGTGGGGCACGCCTGTAGTTCCAGCTACTTGGAAGGCTGAAGTGGAAGGATTGCCTGAGCCCAGCAGGTTGAGGCTGTGGTGGCCAGGAGCGGCCACTGCACTCCAGTCTGGGAACAGAGTGAGACTCCAACTCAAATAAAAAGAGCCTAAGTATTACAATAGATATGAAAACTTTGTAATTCAAATTTCATTTGAATACTTTTTCTGACATGGCATCCACAAAGCCTTGCATCCCGACCCCAGGCCTCTTCAGGGGAGTTTTTCAGTTCTCTTTTGTAAGTGTTGCAGCAAGCAAATCAGCTGACCCTTAAACCACAGGGATTTGTTTTAATGAGCAGTAGAAGGTTCCAGCTTGATGCCAGTAACCAAGAGAATGGGAGCCCTAAGATATTAAGATCTGACCTTTCTATCCAATGATGAGCTCAAGTCCAGACCATGAACTATGGGAGAAAGCAAACACTGGAAAGGCTCAAAAGGGGGTCAGACAACACAAGCCTCGTAAAAGCTTGCTCCCAAAATAGGCATTCTGTCAAGGGGTGTGTGTGTGTTTTCTTTCGAGTTATGCAAATTTTGAATCAGAAAATAGTTCCATTGGTTTGCGGAGTGGGGGAATTTGGTTTGGACACATACACCAATGGTTATTATTTTAAATGTATGATCATGAACTTGTATGCCTCCATGCCCATAACAGATGCATCTATGTGATATTGAACAGGGAAAGAGATTCTGTGGTTTCAGCCCTGTCTGGTCAACTCCTGAAGTATTAGAAAACACTGAAGCAATCCACAAAGAATCAGCAATTTCCATTTCCACCCAAAGGATACTTTGTTTTCTTCTAACAGTTTTCTCTGCTATTTACAAAGTTTCTCTTATTTGAAAGCTACACTAACAGGTTAACAAGGCTAGGCCAGGCAGTTGGCTCAAGCCTGTCATTTCAGCACTTTGGGAGGCCAAGGTGAGAGGACTGCCTGAGCTCACGGTTTCGAGACCAGCCTGGGCAACTTGGTGAAACCTTGTCTCTACAATAAATCAGAAAATAAGCCGGGCGTGGTGGCACACGCCTGCAGTTCCAGCTACTTGGAAGGCTGAGGCGGAAAGATCACCGGAGCCCAGCAGGTCGAGGCTGCGGTGGCTATGAGCGTGCCACTGCACTCTAGCCTGGGCGACAGAGTAAGACTCCAACCTAAAAAACAAAACAAGGTGTCAGAAGATGTTTCACCCACATCCCTTGTTTATAACTACCCAACCTCCTGCAAACACCACCCCCCTTACTTACGCCCATACCATGTGGGCAGGGCCGTATTCTGATGCCTGATACTCAGAGCAGTTATTTTATTTTTCATAATGCCCATGCACTGTGTGTGTGTGAGTATGTGTGTGTGTGAGTGTGTGTGTGTGTGTTGCCTACAGTATGCTTAACAGTTACCAAAATATTCAGACAAGAGTCCCTTCCCCTCCGTCAACCAGATGGTGACTTTTCTCTTGTGTGGTTTTGTTTTGTTTTTCACATTGCTTCCTGTTATACATGCCCCCTCCTTCCCTCCCCCCCACCCCAAAACACATGCAGTTACTGCAATGTTAATCTAGGAGTCCTTGAACGCGCTGTGTACGTTGTTGTGCTTTGTGATTGTTGCTGGGTGATTCCTGCTGCTAATGACCTTTCTGTTTTCCTGACCTCCGGAAAGCCGTGCTGGTGGCTAGGTCTCCGCCCGCTGCCCTTGAATTTGTTGTAGACTCTGGGGTTCTGAGTAAGTTTGGTCTGAAGACAGCCAACATGATTGTTTCTTTCTATTCTTATCCTTAAAAAAAAAAGACTGTCTGGTATCTTGGTTGTATCCTCGTATCTTCCGCTCTAATAAACGTTGTATTTTTCTCAGTGTTGTGTATTTTAAGTGATTTTTCACCTTTCTAAGAAAATGACTCTGTGTAATACGAATATTTAACTCTTCCGTCTTCAGTCATGGGGAACGTTCTGGCCAAACGCTTCTTTAAAATTCTGCCTCCCACGCCCCGTTTAATGATGCCTTCCCCATTTCTCCTGTGGACTGAAGGGTCTGAGGAGTCTGTGTCTCTTGTCTTTCCTCTCTCTTCCCAGTGAAGAACTTTCACTGTTTATGAACACAGAGTGACACGTTTTTCTTTTCTTAAATTTAATGTGTAGAGACAGGGTCTCGCTATGTTGTTACCCAGGCTGGTCTTGAACTCCTGGCCTCAAGCGATCCTCCCACCTCAGCCTCCCAAAATGCTGGGATGACAGGTGTGAGCCACCCTGCCCAACCCATTTTCCTTTCCACCAAAGATTTCACCTTTGCTGCTTGAGAAGCAAGTTGCCCTCTCAGGGAGAATCGGGCCTCTTGGTTCCTTGCACCATTCGGGACATCCATCTGTTTCTTTCTTCCCATCAAAATTAAACTTACCAGAAAGATGAGCTGGGGTGGGTAGCCTCATCCCCCTTGTGCTGGGCCTCTCCGTCTCCTAGTCCTGAAGCAGAGACTCAGTAAAGGTTGGAGATTTTAAAAAACTGTGAAAGTTCCTCACCTCAGACGTGCCCTCGGGTAACCAATTGCTCTCAAATCACCCCTCCCCTCCCCCTTCCCGGCGGCGCAGCCCGCAGCCCACCGCAGGATGCCCGCCCCTGCCCGGCTGCCTGTCTCTAACAGAGAGTTTCTCTTTCTCTTTCTGTGCCGTAGATTCCTAGAGGTGGAATGCCGGGAGCCTCGGGGGAGCTGTCCCAGGAGAGACCCTCGGTCCCGCGCGCTTGTCTCCACAGGCCTCAGCGCCCCTCGGAAAGCCTTCCCCCCGCAGCCGGCGGAGTGTGCCCCCTCCACCTGCAGCCACGCCCCTCGCAGCCGCTTGTCTTCCCTCCCCGCAGCATGCTCCTCACGCCCGGCTACTCCCGTGGCCCAGCTACTCTCGCGGCCCAGTCTGGCTGCCTTGTGGGGGGGAAGTGTCTCCCCCCGCCCCCACCCCAGGGCAGGGTTCAGTTCTCATCGCTCCCACTCCCTGCCCCCGCACAGGCCACCAAGACAGGGGAATTCAGGCCCTCTCCCTGCCCCCTCCTGGGCCCTCAGTCCACCTGGGGCTCATCCTGGCCTGTCCTTCTGCATTTCACACTGTGCCTTCTGTGAAAACGTCATCACCAGTCTCCTGGGGAGACGCACGTGATTGGACAAGGAGGGTCAGCGCTGCGCCGGGTGAACTGAGCACCCACATGTCGCCGATGTGTTCCCAGATGGAGGCTCTCACTTGAGCCCAGGAGTCTGAGACCCGCCTGAGCAACATAGCAAGACCTCGTCTCGACAACAAACAAACTAGTCAGGCGTGGTGGCGCCCGTCTGTCGTCTCACCTACTGGGGAGGCTGAGGCAGAAGGATGGCCTGAGCCCAGCAGGTCGAGGCTGCAGGGAGCTGTGACTGTGCCACCGCACTCCTGCCTGGGGGGCCGAGCAAGACCCCAACTCAAAAAAAGAAAAAGGACTTCCTCCTTTCCCAAGTCTGTTAAGTGTCCGGCGGCTCTTTTCTGATACCAGACTGAACGTGGACCCTTGGCCCGAGCGTCTGTGGCGGGCACAAGGACTCGGCCGGGCGCACACGCACACGTGTGTTTGGGACCCTGGCCTCAGTGTTTGGGGAACGTCCCCACTGGAAGCCGGGTTCCAGTTGCGCCTCTCCCGTGTCCGCCTGACGTGAGGAGCTCTGTGCCTGCCCGTCCTTTCCCTGTCCCCAAGGGCTGCAGATCATGCACCTGTGAGCCGGTGTCACTTCTCGTCTTCCCGTGAGTCCCGAGACTAGCATCTTCAGATTTTAGCACTTTCATCACCAAAGACCCTGTGCCTCTCCCGGTCCCGCCAGGGGTCCTGTGGCCGCCGTGTCTGTGTTTTGCCACATGCTCTTGGGGCCACGAGGAAGTCATGGAGTGCTTTCTGAGCTACGTTTCCCTCTCCGCGTGGACCTTCGAAGAACTCCGAGGTCACATGGCCTGCGGCCCCTGGCAGCCTCTCCATCTGGCGCAGACACGGGAGAAGTGACTGACTCCCATGACCAAGATCGCCAGCAGATGGCCAAGGATGAAGTCAGCCATTCCTGTCCTTCTGTTTGGCCTTTGGTAACTAGGTGGCCACCCCCGAGCATCCTCGATTCTTCTTGACATTTGTGACTCTAAGACAAGGAAGTCTTGTTTGGGCCAGGTGCGGGGGCTCGTGCCTGTAATCCCAGCGCTTTGGGGAGGCCAAGGAGGGAGAATCACTTGAGCCCAGGAGTTTGAGACCAGCCCCGGCAACACAGCAAGACCTCGCCTCTACAAAAGGCATGGCGGCATCCACCTGTAGTCCCAGCTACTCAGGATGCTGAGGCAGAAGAATCACCTGAGCCCAGGAGGTCAAGGCACCAGAGTGAGACCCTGACTCAAAGAAAAAGAAAAAAGCCAGAAAGACAAAGGCGAGGAAGTCTTGTAGGAGCCCAAGGGACAGGTCCAGAAACAACTGGTCCTGAGGGCGGGGTCTGCCCTTGGGGTGGCTCACCCCACTTGTGGAAACCAGATGACTCAGCAAGCCAGGGTCAGCCACACAACCCACTCCCCCCAGCCCCCCCCCCCGGGGGCCGCCCAGGCGCCCGTCATGGCCTGGAAACCGCAAGCAAGTGGCTGCCACCGGCACGCAGGGCAAGGGGAAGTGGCTTCAGGTTGGAGGAGTGAGCCGGCTCGAGCTTCTGTCACCCTGTCTTCCCCGGAAGGCTAAGTCGGGGACCTGATCACAGCTGGCGGGAGGGCCCCTGGGCTCGCGGGGGTCTCAGGGCTGCGGCAAGACCCACGGGCTTCCAGTCCCTGCAAAGAGCCATCCAGTTACAGTGCACTCATTGGCCACACGGGAGGACCAGTATGGCAGATGACATTGAGGCTGGGTGACCGAGGATGAGAGCTCGGGCTGCACTTCTGTCCCTGCCAACCTGCCGTGCACGGTCCTCCCAGCTGTTCCCACAGCTCCACGAAGGGCCACTCTGTCGCCAGGGCCAAGAGGCATCCTGGGCACTTCCAGGCGTTGCTGGGTCACCCTGGCTGTCCCCACGCCACAGGACCCCCAGAGGTTTTCACGGTGGCCTCAGAGCCTCGGGAGAGCACACACGCAGGCAGCTTGCATCCGCAGGGCAGGGACAGGTTCGTTTCTTGCAACACGGCGGAAGCAAATGAGCCCAGTCGTGTGCTCCCTCAATGTTCGTCACCCCCAAGGGAGGACGTGCTTGTATCGTTTTGTCATCCCCGCGCCTTTTTAAAAAACCTCCGTGTGAATGGCTGGTGGAGCGCTGTGATGTGTCCAGCCTCGCTGTGCGCTGCTTTGGTGGTCTGTGGCCGTGCGGGCAGGGCCGTGCCAGCCAGGCCCGTTGGAGGAACAACATTATTAGGGGATCGTCGAGGCACGCCCTGGAATCCGGGAAGCCTACTGCAAAGTCCTTTCTGTGTCACGGAGCAAGCAGCGCACGTGGGGTAGGGCCGTGGGGTTCCCCGCGAGCTGCTCATTCCTTTCCGTACCTACCTGCTGTCTGCCATTTCTCCACCGAGCTAGAATGCTGTGTGTCGTAAGATGACTCATGATGTCGGGCGTGGTGGCTCACGCCTCTCATCCCAGCGCTTTGGGAGGCCGAGGCAAGAGGATTGCCTGAGCCCAGGAGTTCAAGACCAGCCTGGGCAACATAGCGAGACCTCATCTCTATTAAAAAAAAAAAAAATTAGCCAGGGTCAACGGTGCATGCCGGTAGTCCCTGGATAGTTGGGAGGCTGAGGCAGAAGGATCGCCTGAGCCCAGGAGGTGGACTCCAGCCTGGGTGACAGAGTGAGACCCTGACTTTTAGAAGAATGACTGTCAAAGACCCCGCCCTGAAAATGACTTAAAAACAGTGAAAGAGAGGAGCTTGTCCTTTGCCCAGTTTTCCCCTCTGTAGAATGGAAGAAAGAAAAGGGCCTGGGGCGCTCGCTGTCTAGGGGCTTTCCTTTGGGAAAACAAGTCACACCTGTGGCTTGTCCGACCAGCACAGCACAGAGGCCTCTGACGCCTACGGGTAACATCTGGAACGAGCGAGGGAAGTTTACACAACATGCAAAACGCTGTTCCTGCTAAGTATTTTTCCAGAAATTGTGGTTTCATGTTTCTCCTTGGCCCTGCCTCCTGTGCGTACATCATCCAAAAACACCTTCAAAAAAGCCGGTCCAAAATTCAGTTTTAACCCGATGTTGGGCTCCTCTAAGTGTGTGTGTGTGTGTGTGTGTGTGTGTGTGTGTGTGTGTGTGTGTTGCACTAATTCTCGATGTTGGGGCATTTCACTGTTGTCAAGGCCCACTGCCATTGTACAGGTCCTGGGGTTGCCCGTTTGTCCCTGGAGATGAAATTAAACCAAATCAGTGCTTCCACTGGAAGGCTCACATTGACCTTGTAACTGTATGTTAATCCTCTACATGGTAAATAAAAGTATAACTTCTGGCGCGGTGGTCACGAGACTGTTGCATGACAAGGGGACCCTCGTCGTGGGAGCAGCCTGGTGTGCTCAGAAGCCCCTGGGCCGGGGGCCAGCCTCGGGGAGGAGCCGGCGAGTTGGGTGGCCCTGGGCCGGGCCCACCCACGGGCAATGGCTAGTCAGACGCCAGTGGTGCGGGGCGATCCGGCGCAGGGATTTGGGGGGCTGCGGGTGGCGAGGAGCTTTTGTTTGCTCGCAGATTCAGCTGGGGCTGCTGTCGTTTTACAGAGACCCCATTGCCTGGGGTGGGCGGAGAGGGGAGAAGGGGGGAGTGGAGGGAAGGGGGAGGGGTGGTGAAATCAGAGCACGCTGGGGTTCATGGGGGAGCTGGCTTCACAAGCGCGCAGGCCGGTGCTCCCGGTGGCTTGGCTGGAGTCACCATTTCTGTGACACTTGCAGGACAAGCTCGCAGGGTGGGGCCTCGTGCCAGCACCCTCGGCCCCATGCAGTGGGGGGCCCCGTGTCCACAGCCAGCCTGGGAGATTCCACTCGGCCTGTTGGGGGAAGGAATGACTGGCTTGTGCCCACACCCTTCCGCGTCCTGGGGGTTTTCAGAGCTGCTCTGGGGGAACAGTTGTCCAGGGAGGGGGACAGTGGCAGCGCCGGGCGGCCTCACGCCAGGGGGGGGAGGTGAGGTCGCCAGTCCGAGGCCGGATGGAGCTTCTCACAGTGCTGGAGCTGCTTTAAAAAGGATCTTCCGGAAGTTCCTCGGGGAAGTTCCTCGGGGAAGGGGGCAGGAGAGATCCGAAGCTTCCCGACCACCAAGAACTCCTGGTTCTCAGCGAGAGCTGGTGTGGCGCCGGGAACAAGGGACTGTGACATCGCGTCCTAGCCCAACCCTCCCGTCTGTGTTGTCAGCGAGATGAATTTTGGACGGATATTCCGGGGGGGGCTGTGGACCCACCTTCGGGGCGCCTGGAGCTGGGTTTGCTGGGCTGGGTCCCCCTGCCGCCGTGTGGCACCATCTGGAGGCCAAGAGCCGCGTCCGTCCGAAGCCTCTGGAAGCCACGCGGACCTGCGGGGCAGGCTCCCCCGGTGGGTCAGGAAATACCAGCTCGCCCAGCGGCCCTGCACACCCACCGCCCGGGGCGCGCCCAGGCCTGGGAATGGCTGGCCCCCAGAGGCGGTCGCGCCCCCTAGTGGGAGCAGGAGGGCGAGCATGGCCAGGAGAGCAGGGCAGTCCCTGGTGGTGACGGGACTAAAGGGCAGAGGAGGGGGCTCAGCTGTGCCCTCTCCTCTGACCGAAGCAGAGTTTCTGGCCGGGCGCGGGGGCTCACGC